TCGACTCCGTTTTTAGTGAGGAAGTTTCATCCTACCACCAGTGCGTCGATTAATCCTGGTAGGATCAGCAGCTTCATTGACACTGTTCTTGTGCCAAGTCCGATTTGAATCTCTAGCTGCGATTTTATGTCTCAGCATCTACCGTCCGCCATCCGTACTTGCCTCTTTGTGGGTCCAACTTTTCCTGTCGCCTGCAGCCTGTTCGCCAGCTCTTCGCTGATGAAGCTCGCTGTGGCGCCGATGTCTACCGTGGCCTTAACATTTGCGTCACCTATGAGCACTGTGGCAGACAGTTGTATTTCTTCCGCCTTCAGGTCGCCCATTATTTTTGAGAGGCAGCCCCTTACGATCCCTGGCCGCCTCTAGGAGGCTGGCATCGTTGCGCGTTTCCCAAACAGCACTCCACCGTTCGGACACCTATTTTCCCGCATCGCTAGCAAAACGTGAGGCGTCGATTCCGGCACTCTTTCGCCCAATGGTCTGCGCCCCCGCATCTGCGGCAAATGTTGGCTGGATTCTGAATGAAGCCACTGCGATCGGCTGGTGGTCCGTGTCCCTGCGGCGTATGCCTCCGTGGCGCGTTCGTGTCCTCCTTGCACCGACACACCGCACCCTGCTCCGCCCTTGACCTTGGCACTGGGTGGTTTTGCATTCTTTGGTTTTGGGAATTTTTCTCCAGTTCGAACTTCTTCCGTTGCCCGTCCAGCTTCTCGAACTCATCTGCCAGCGCCATCAGGATGTCCAGGTGCCGACACTCATAGGCCCGGATAAATATTCGGAGGGCCGGCGTGCTGTTCTCCTTGATCCTGCAGACATACCCAGGGGCCGCATCAGCGTCTGCATGTCCGCCATGTAGTCCTTAAACTTTTTCCCGTATGTCTGCCTCCGCTGCCTGACCTGGTCCGCTAGCTTCTCCATGTACCCTGAAGGGAGGAAGTAGCCTTGGAAGCTGTAAATAAAATCTCCCCAGTTGTCCCACTGCTGGTTGTTGGCTATAAACAACTTAAGGGCTCTGCCTTGCAGCAGCTCCGGCACAGCTCATGTGATCTGATTTATATCTAGACCATATGTCATGGCTGACCACTCCACCTGCTCCAGGAACTCCAGTTATCGTTGCCGTCATACCGAAAGTTCCACTCTCGGACTTGCTTGGCAAGCTTGGCGTAGTCCTGCGGATGGGGCCGTACGCTTTTTCTCCTCTCTAGGCTGCCTTCTTGCTGCCTGCCGTGCTCTGGATATCTAGGCTTGATATCAGACCTTCGGCACTTGCGGTGGTTAATTTGAATGCGAACCTCACTGTGGGGCCGGCAAGGTGTTTCGCCTAAGGTAGAACTAGGTTTGACCTCTTCGCCTAGCCACCTTTATCGCAGGCTCCCTAAGCTCGGTCTGGATTGTCTGGAAGGCCTAGCAAACGTTGGATCTCAACGTAGTAGTCTCAGCCTTGTAGACTTACAGTCGTTCGACGTCTCGATTTTGCGATCTAGATACTGGCACTCTGCACTTGATTTACTTGCTATTGGTCTCGCGTACACGCACTGGCCTTGATTCGCGCACTATTATTTCCGGGAGAGCTTCGCCTGCGCGGCCCTGTTATAGCTTGTGATGGTCCCGTTATTCCTCTACTCCAGCTCGCGTGATCGGGTCCAAGGTTCATTGCCGCACCGTTAGTTCACGGTGCGTCCTCTTTGTTGCCCTTGCTGGGTTCAATGTCCACCGTTAGTTCAAGGTGTCTCTGTATTGCCCGGGTCCAAGGTCTGCTGTTCACCGTTTGACCTTGTTGCCCATGACTCCTCCGGCATTCTCGCCTCCTACAAAATCAAAATTAATACCCAATTTCTGCATTATATCTGCAATCCAAGCTAAGATCGCGGTCTCTCTACTTTACTTTCCTGACGGTGAGTATTTTGAGAAACTTGCTTGATACTAACATGGCACTTTTCTATGTGTTTCTGACATCTGTTCGCTGTTCCTCTACTTTACTTTCCTGACGGTGAGTATTTTGAAAAACTTGCTTGGTACTAACATGGCAATTTTGTATGTGTTTAGATAATTGAGTTAAATTCTGAAAAGCTGTTGCATTGTGTTATATTTGCTCAAAGTGCAAGTTATTTGTACTAGTTGTTGGATCAGAACCTCTTTGTGGCTGTTCAAGTATGTTGGTTTTTATTGGTCTTCCGCGAGCTTTTGATCTAGCGCTACCTCTACGCATACTTCCCACTCTATCCGTATTCGATTTTCCAGGCTCAAGTGTACCTGATTGGGACTTTGTGCCATTTCAAGATTTAAATCTCTGGTAACTGCTCTAGTTGTAATTCCTGAAGGACCTTTGACTTGTATTTTTGAGTTTGGGTAACTGTATCCAACCATTACTTTTAAGTCTCTTATATGAACTACGGCAAAACATGGTTGAAGGCGGTTCTAGATCCAAGACTTGTGATATATATGTTAACAATTTGTCATTACTTCGCTGCACAAGAGACAAATATTTTCTTATTCATTTGGAGGTACATTTTCAAAACTGTGTTGTGAAAGCATTTTAATTTGTATTAAATTTTTTTTTTGTCTTAGACATTTTTTGGAACAAAACTAAACAACATGGGTATCTATCCTTCTTCCTAACCTTTTATTTGAAGATAACCGGACTGTTGATTAGTAAAAGGAGTTTGATATTACTAGAATGACTAGAAATTTCATGATATTTACTAAAGGATGAACATACCTTTGCTGATATGAAGCATAATTCCTGTTTAATACGTCTAAACGATTTCCTTATATGGAATTACATCATAAAAACAATCAATAAAGTATAAGCAAGAAATTTTTTTGCCAAGAGTAAAGATATGGGGACAATCGTGAACCGATGTTAAGGTCGGAAAATTCAAATCCATATAACTTCGAAATCCAAAATACGTATTCCACATAAAACTACTCGACTAAAACGAGATCCTTTCTTTACCAGAAAATAAAAGAGCTAGATTCATAAATCATTATCGAAGTTTGAACTTTATTGACCTATTCCGTTTAAGCAGCTTTGTCAAATCCTCATGCAAAATTACATTTTAACAGTTCACTGCCGGTGAGATCTCCATAAAATAATGCCAGTGGGTGGCGATGGGCACTAGTTTTCTTAACCCACCAAATCATGTTTCTTCTTATAAGCCAGGAACCATTTGTGAACGACGCTTTGTTGATTTAGTTCACGTTCCCCATGTCTATAAAACTCTTAGTAACTCATCTCTTAATTCACTCGTATTTTATTCATAATAAAAAGACTAAGTGACAGGATTTTCATTTACTTTAATATTTTTAACTTAAAAAACACAAGCTAAAATAAAAGCAATTATGCATAGAAAATTTGAAGAAAAATATTTTGCAAAATCAAAGGTGTTATCTGCTAACTCCAAGTAATCCGGTGCAGAAAGATATGCATATTGAATTAAGTATCATAAAAATCAAAACAAACACCAAGTGCAAAAGCTATGGGCATTCTGTTTCGCGCTTATCTTAATGCACGATTTCGGAAACAGTTCACTTACAAATAGTTTTTCCTCATTTTTCTATAATAATGTTTTTTCTTTTAGCCAGGGTTTTTATATTGATTTTTACTGAGTTCCGTTTTAAGTTGTTTGTTTCACGTTCTTTTGTTCTTTGTTGTACGGCTTCTTGATGGTTTTAATTCGGCAACAATTCTGCCACGCATTTTGTGTCGTGATTACTGTTTCTCTTGCCTACGCCTTTCTCCTTACGATGGGAGTCCTAAATGCACTAAATGTATAGCAATTAATGGAAGGTCACTGGCGGATCAAGTAATTTGTGGGAAATGTAGAACTCCTTGGGTGACAATGTTTGCTATCTGAAGAAGTCAAACTAAGCCGAATGAGGTGCACGTTTAGACCAAAAATAACTTACGATAGGTTATATTCTACTTTGCCAACTTCACAATAGATGTGGGGAGTACTACAGCTTCCATTTGCCAGAAACAAGATGCTGATCGGTACAATGGGCCGGACTTACCGCGGCGGGCTCTTCCCAATTATTTAAATAGGGACGTTATTTTAGTAAACAAAGGTCTATTGTCAGGCAGACGTTTATAGTTTAATGAGACTTGAGAAAGGTTTAGTTAAGTTTGGTGTCTCAGACCTGGATAATGGTTTATATCTGGATTGGTTGGTATATTTGCTTTATGTTCATCAGGGCGGCACAAGTTTATATGGAAATTGTAAGGTTTCAAGTTTGTGACTCAAACGGATTGTTGTCAAAAATTTTATACTAATTGACATAACGTATCTTTTAAGTTATTTTTACGTAAGCTTTGAGATCATCATCATATATAATTTGTTGTTTTTTAAATACATTGCACACCAACATCTAATTATACCCTTGCAGCGGGTATTATAATTTCAGTCAGAAGTTTGCAACCCAGTGAAGGAGACATTTCTGACCCTATAAAGTGTATATATTCTTGATCAGCATCACTAGGAGAGTCGATCTAGCCATGTCCGTCAGTCAGTCTGTCCGACCGTCTGTCCATCCGTTTCTACGCAAACGAGTCGCTCAGTTTTAAAGTTATCTGCATGGAACTTCCACAAAAGTTATCATTCTATTGCAGGTAGAATTCAGAATTGCGCTTTTAATTTTGTTAAAATCGGAAAACGATATCATAGCTGCCATAGGAACTATTGAATAATTGAGCTGCAAATCATCATACCTTCAATGTTTTTAAACATATACGCAAGTAAATCATGATTTTAAGGTTTTCAAGATTATTTATTTTAGCAACAGCTGCAAGCTGTATGGTCTTCGGCTTGCCAAAGTTTGCTTCCTTTCTTTTTACTGTTTTTACTGTGTTTTAAAAGGTTTGTAGTGCTATAAAAGTGCCTTGACTCCGAAGCTATCACCTTCGGTTTTTTAGATTTTTAAAACTGAAGGATCAATTAACGCCAAAGATTTCTGAGGGACGCAAGTACACAAATTCAAATTATGAATAATAGTATACAAACTTATTGCATGGTAGAACGCAAATGCCGCAACATTTTTCCATTCCGCTTAAATTCTTTTCGGCTTCTCTCATATCAGCATTAATTTGATCCATTCCTTCTTCAATGCGGTCCAATTGTTCTGAAATAGAAAAATATATTAGTCATAAATTAAGAATTTAAACAAGTTTTTTAAATTGTAAGTCGCTGTCTCGAAGAGTAAAACAGTATACTGTATTTGCTTAAAAGTATGTATGTATGGAAACGTTTCCCATTTCTGTCTGTTTGACTTTCTATGACTTCGCTGCATGTTAAAATACCGTAGTTCTGCGTGGAATATTAATCATGATGATTCGGTACTCGGCTATGTTGGATGTTCCCCGCATAGTTCGAAATTCCGCGAGCTCCGTACCTTTACCTCTCTGGGATTAGCACTTTATGTCCAGCACAACTTCTGCGATGAACTTACTTCCTAGCACCAGGGCGGCGGTCACTCCTGGTAGGATCAGCAGGAACATGGGCAATCGTTTGTTGCTGATTTCGATATTTACCTCAAGCTGTATGTTCTGCTGTCTGTATCTGCCGTCTGCCAGCCTTACTTGTCGTCTCGTTTTGTAATCCTTTCTTCGCAAGCCAGCATGTACGCCAGCATATTGCTTCTAAAGCTTGATGTTGCTCCGGTGTCGGTCGTGGCTTTGTTTTCAGCTAGGATCATTAGAGTCTCTAAATCAGCTAGTTTATATGTTATTGATCATCATCACTCGAAAGTTTGTTCTAGCCATGTCCGTTTGCTATTTCGCGAAAATTTGTTTTCGGCCAGGATCACTAGAGTCCCTAAATCAGCTAGTATATATGTTCTTGATCAACATCACTCGAAAGTTTGTTCTAGCCATGTTCGTCTGTTTTTCTATCCGTTTCTATGCAAGCTTGTCTCTCAGTTTTAAAGTTATCTGCATAAAACTTTCTTAGTAGTTGTCATTCCATTGCAGGTAGTAAATAAGTTGAAAACGAGACGGGTCCGACGACTGGTCGACAACTCCCATGGGAAAAAAAAAGAATAAGCTTCGGCAAGCTGAAGCTATATACCCTCGCAGTTATTGCAAAAATTAAATATTTTTTGAAATATTCTAAATTTAAATAACATGCGAATATGTTTTAAAAAAATTCAGCTCTATTATTCGTTTATTCCTTCGTTATAGTACACCTCGTTTTGACTTATATGCTACATGCAACAGGAAGACAACTTTTGAGAAAGTTTTATGCACTTATCTTCACAACTGAGAGACTAGTTTGCGTAGAAACAAACGGATATATCAACTCTCCTAGTGATGCTGATCAGGAATATTATTATATGGTCTTCTTCACTGCGTGGCAAACTTCTGACTTAAATTAAAATACCCTCTGCAAGGGAATAAAAATAAATCAAATCATCAAGTTAATTGCATATATAAAAAGTTGCTTCCGCAAAACACCACTGCAGAAAGAGTGGCCAATTTTCTTAAAATCTGAAGACATCAACCCGTCTCCAAAGCGTTAACAAAATACAACAGGACCGCAACGACAGAGGAGCGAAGACCAACGACGTCATCGGCTACAATTACAACAATCATTGAGGCGGCAACAAAAGCAGCAGCTAAGTAAAATTTAAGATTCAAATATATAAGCAACCTTTAAAAAGAAAAACGAAATGTTGTCCGCTCAAACAATTGTCCTAGATAGTAGATACTATTATGAATAGAAAGCGAATGCATCAGTAATAATTCGGCATTAGTAACAATTGGAGCAGTCACGTTCAAATTATGGATTGAAAAAATAGCATTTTATTGGGAGAACTTTCTTTGGGTCACTAATTAGGAAGAGTTAAACGAATTAGAGTGTGACATTTCGACAATGACTAAGAACATGAAAAAAAACCCCAAGAAAATTGTTCCAAGTAAGATAGTTACATAAAATGGACAATTTGCCAGCGACACCTAAAATTCAGGTACCCACATTCTTTGGAGATTCCAAAGAGTGGGACCTGTTTAATGAGTTATTCATAAAGAGAGGAAACTTGTCCTTCCATAAAATTGAATTACCTCAAGAACTCACTTAAGGGAGCAAAAATGTGGTTTTTCACTTATTACTGGGATCTGGGAAAAACTATGATGCCGCTTGGGAACTATTAAATAAGAGGTATGAAAATTAGAGAAAAAAATGTTAATGATAATTTTAATCGCCTTTCTGAGCTTTCAGTTTTAAATATGGACTCTGTTTGCGCACTTGGCGCTTGTATTTAAATCCCTAGCTGTAGGGCGAGAGCCAATAAGGCTTTCGTCCGTTCGCTCTTGCGAAATCGCCCCGTCCCACCATAAGTTAGGTTCTAAGAGAAATTATTGAAATGTTAAAGATAGTGATAAATCGAACGTCATCGTAGCCATCCCTTTTCGTCGTCGCTTTCGAAATAGTTTGTTCACAAGTTTCGCAAATTAAAATCGTCTCGAACTACTGCATTCACAAGTTTTCGCGTTGGTAATACAAAACAGTATTAAATTTTTCATGGTGACCCCGACGTGATAGTAGTAGAGTTCGCGAGTTGTTTTAATTTTTTTCGCTGAAATACTATAAACATTATCAACAATACCCAAAACAAATTTATTCGTGTCGGTTCGGCCAATAAATAAAATTCAACAATATTTCGTCGCTGGAAATTTTCTGCCGTTCCTTGAGTTTCCCCAGACTGCAAATTTAGTTGCTTAACTTGCTGCTGCCGCCAAATGGAAGGAAAAAAGGAAGTTTCAATTATTAAGTCCGCCATCCAGGTATAGAGTGCCAAAAGTTAAAAGTTAATCTGTCAATTGTGTTTTGGCCCATCTTTCAACTTTTTGCATTCGTGTAAAAATCGGTAGATAGTGAGCATTCTAACCAAGAAATAAAAATTTGCATGTACTAACAACCAAAATTCTGCAATAAACATAATATATTTCGAATTATATGTGAATCGCTTTGGCCCAATTATATAAATAAAACAGCTGGAACAAGTGAAAATTGTGAAAAGTGTAGTTCTCAAAAATAAGCGGCAAAAACTTTCGCCGCAGTTTGTCTGAACATTTTCCCGCGCTTTTCAATTTTTATTTTGCGCGCATTTTGGTGTCAGGCTAATATATTCGTTGCACTTAGTTATCGGTCAGTGTATCATTCTCCGTTAGCATTTGCCTAGGAAGAGCCGCTAGCCGCGTAACCGCTTGCCGCTATTTCGAGTTATCGAGTCGTTTTCGTTCTCGATCGCTGCAGCAGTGCAATTTTTTGTCTGCCTTAACGTTTGTTCGTTTTTTCGGTACGCTTGAGCTTGAGCGTTAGCTCCCCTACAGCGCGTGAGTTATAGTATGAAATAGTTAACGGTTATTCTTATTCATCCAATATTCAGTTAAGGTTTATATATAGACAGTTGATGTGTTCGCTTTGGTTGTTCCAAACGGAATAATTTTTTATTGTGGCTTGAGATTCAAATCAAACCTCCGCCAAAGAATTTTATGTGTTTACAATTATGTATGTGTGGGTGAGTAAATGCTAACAAAGTATTTTCTGGAGCTCTGCTGAGTGGGTGTCGTTTAGCAACATCCTGCCTTGTGCTGATGTTGCATTTCTTATTTGCATCTTATGTGGGACAACGAACGGCTAGCTGTCGGTCACTGTCCACTTGGAAGAGGGTAACACGGGGAGGTTTAGGCGGTGGCATAGTCGATGGTACCGGTACGGTAACTCGTGCGTGCGGCATACAACTGCCTATTTAGATATTTTTTGCTGTACTTCTCTCGGCAATTACCTCCCCTACACCGTGTGCGATCGGTATATTACTCGTTGATTTTTTATTAGATTATTTAACAAATAAATAATTTAATAAAAATAAATATTTAACACCTCTTCGATACCAACAAAATAAATACAAATAAAGGCAATGGTAAATGAGGATATCGAAGAGCTTAAGCACCAACGAGATGTTTGCATGAAAAGTATTAACCGATCTTATCACCATTTAAAAGAAGCTAAATTTACTGATAGTAAATCCGGTCGAGCTTGAGTATCGATAAGAGATTCTAAATACGCACATTAAAAATGCTTCACTTTTGCAAAACCAAATAGAAGTGAAAGATACAAAAGACGTATACCGCGAAGAGTTGGAAGAGAGAGCCGTAATGCCAAAGCCATTGCTGATTTCGACTTTAAATAAGTGCAAACAAAATAATATCGAGAAATCCGCGCCGCCAGCAAATCGCCCACCTCAATGCCGTCTATCGAGCGTTGCTCTCCCAAATTTTAGCGGTAACCACTCCGAATTTAGAAATTTTATAGGCCTATTCGAAACTTTCGTTGACAAAGATAAAGTGTCATCTTTCGATATTGAAAAATTCAATAATTTAATTTCGTGTTTAGCAGAAGACGCTTTAGGAACATTAAGGGCCTTTCAAGTCACTGCGGAATATTATCCCAAAAACCTTGCTAACCTGAAGCGGGTGTACGATAATGATTGTCTTATTTTTTTTGACAACATATCGACACATTTTTATTTCCAAAAAATTTCCCGGCCTTCAGCTTCATCCTTGAGAATCCTCATCGACACGGGCACAGCCTTGTATGACTCCTTGCTGTCTATTGGGGATGATAGACGCATTACAAAAGCTATTTTTATACATCTGGTAATGAGCAAGGTCGATGCAGGAACTGAAAGAAAATGGGAAGTACACTTAGATTATACTTCGCTTCCACTTTGGAGCGAATGTGAGGCGGCCCTCAACCGGCGATACCAACACATGGTAGCGGAAGAGGCTTCCAAGTCCAAAACTGTTCAGCAGACTCAATCCTCCCCTTTGACTCTGTTCAATGCCTGTATCGCAACTCAGCTGAACATCAGATTGGAAACTGCGCTCCCTTCGTAGCCCTAACAGTGCAGCAAAGATTCGATTTCGCTAAATGAGCACCGTTATGCATTAATTGGGTCACACGGTAAAAAATGCAAATCGAACAGATGTAGAGTGCGCAATTCCTCACATCACACTTTGCTACACATATATTCCCTAAACAAAAATCTCGCGTTGCCACCCCCTTCTCAGCTCACGCTAATGCAGGTGTCTCCATTCACTTCGCATGTTTTGCATGCGAATG